GAGGAAGTCCTATATATATCCATACTACTGAAGTATGCTTAACCTAGGTCATATTCTAGTCTTTAGGGTATTCTACAACGTCATGGTCGGTGTGCATAGGAATCCTAAAACGCTGCGGCGGGAACGGCGGAAGGCTCATGGCTCAGGCGGGGGCTCTGAAAATTGTTGGTTGAAACAATCATAAGATCACATCTCAGCAAGCACACACCCTAAACCCCACCTAGGCTAACACGTATCTCCAGACAATCAAACACACTAACACGCATCGATTACATATCAAGCACACCATTTGCACTTACCTGGCATTAATACACGCCATCTGCAGGTTAGTCTCAATCATAAGGTTCCAATTACATGCGTATTTCAAATACGTTTCATACTCAAAACACCCACATCGAACACATAACACCTCATTTCCACATTTCGCTCGATCGTGCCCATCTCATCACACTATCCTGCTCGACTGGCCAGTGACCCGCGTAATGGTACCGCTTCAGGTTCACTGCGACCATCTCATATCCACAACACTTCTAGCCTGCGTAATGGTACCGCCTCAAGCTATGTATCTTGCCCGCGTAATGGTACCGCCTCAGGCTCAACATCCGTCATCCATTGCACAACCCGCGTAATGGTGCCGCCTCAGGTTGTCCATATTTACAACACTTCTCGGCCCGCGTAATGGTACCGCCTCAGGCTCAACACCTACCACCTACTGTACAACCCACGTAATGGTACCACCTCAGGTTGACAGTCTTCCGGTAATACCGGACATCGTCCCGTGTAATAGTACCGCCTCAGGACGGTACAATTCCCCGCGTAATAGTATCGCCTCAGGGATTCTCGTAACCTCATGCTCGACGTTTCACATTCTTTCTCGTTCATTCACCCGCACACTTTACACACCAACAAGCCCAATTACTAGCCGATTACACTCGGCCCATGGACACATCAATCTCACGCATTTCACATGCTTAACTTAACCCAAACATTGCCAAATGACGATCCACTCAATTCAGCCCATGCGTGCACACAACAACTTGCATTTCAATCAAATAATTCACACACCAACGAGCATTCAAGGCCACCAACGGGCCCACAATCACAGCCACAAATTCAACATTTCCAAGTTCATTTCCAGCCCTAATTACCATCACAATTCAGCCACAACACAGCCCGCCAACCCAACACCATTTAGTCCTCAAATCAAGTCATATGGTCATCATTACGAGTCCCAATTTCAAGCATTCAATTCGGCATCAAATCAGCCCCAACACATCACTATTTCACCCACAATTTAGCCAACTCGAATTCCCAATTCATTCTACCATCATAACCCCTAAACTGCCCTAAATAACCCCTAAACCGACACTAATTAACCCGATTTAACCCCTAATCGCATCTATCGATACCCGACATCCTAAATAGGGTTTAGGGGGCGACTTAGACGAACTCTAGGCTAGCTCGGCTAGAGTGGAATGGGGCGGCAGGCCGGTGGCCTCACGGCGGTGTGCGGCGGTGGCGAACGGCTCGACGGCGGCGATGGCGAGCGGCGGTGGCTGGCGGCGGCTGAACAGAACAGGACAGGACGAGGGTGATGGTGACTCGGTGAGGCAGAACAGGGGAGAGAGAATCGGTGGGGTGGGCGGCTGGGCTAGGTGAGCGGCTGTTCCGGCGTACGGCAACTCCGGTGTGCAACCGATCCAGCTGGACAGGCAGGCAGCGGCGACGGCCGGCCTAGGCGGCTGGGCTGGTGACCGGTGGGAGGCTAAGGGTGTTCGGTCGGGAGGGAGAGAGGGAGAGTGAGCCGAGAGAGGTGAGAGAGTGAGGAGAGAGAGAGATTTGGACTAAATAGTCCAAAGCCAATAATTGAGGTGCCAAAAGACCATCATGCCCCTCTCTCACAATCCAAATCAACGACCTAGATTCGATCTTATCTTGAGATCAACGGTCCGGATCGAGTCTTTTCAAAAATATCTAAGGGCAATTTGGGGATTTCTCAAAAAGTTCAAGGGCAAAATTGTCCAAAATTTTCTATTTCTAAGGCTAAGGCGAAATGACCAAAATGCCCTTCCCCAATTACATTGGCCTTAACAAACTTCCAGGGGTAGAATGGTTATTTTCCATTTCTCGCCAAAATTCAATTTTTCTGAAGGATTCAGGCAAATCGGAGGCTGACTATGCCAATAACAACGTCGTCCAAATTGTACTGTCGTGACTTCCTAATTTCCAATGCCCAAATTAGTCTCTAATTAATAACTGGATTTTATATAACGTAACTTGAGCGTGTTTCAAACTAACGGGCGGCTTCTGGGGAAATTCGCATATTCGACCCGTGACTGATACTAAATCAAGTCACGTGCAAGTTCATTCGGATCGTGACGATCTCGATTGTCATGTAATCGCGAGGATCGATCGCTAGTCCCATCGAGCACGATCGCTCGGTATAGGTTCTGGATCATTCGCCACCTCACCTCGTGGTCATACGGAATCACCCGTGATCCACTCGTATGATAGTGACGAATCGGCCCATAACTATCCTAAGATTGGCCTACATTGGCTCAAAATATCACCTCGACAATTCTATGGTCGAAAGTCAATACACGATTGAATTTCTCTAGTCGTACGAATTTAAATTCCTAATTAGCATTTTCCTAATGGTTAGTATCTCAGGAATGTTCAGTTCCGGCAAGAACTAACTACAAGTACGTTCATAAAACCATTTATTTCATAAATCCCAAATAGGCAAATTTCGGAATGTCACAGGATATCTGTCACATCCCGATTTTTGGGCCTGGGAAGCTGCAGGTAAATTGTAATCTCCTTAATTTCAGTCCCTGGGAAATGGCTATGGTTTAAGTTTGGTGGTTTTCCAATTGGAACTAAATTGTTTTCTCTTGTTTTGGAAAACCCTATTTCGGATCCTTTGTACCCCTTCGTTTTGTTATTTTTGGGGAGACTTTTGTGGTCCGAATTTCCAAACACTTTCTTCTTGAAAGTTTCTCCAAACATCATGAAGTTTTACATACTTTAATTTCAGAATTTTTGGAGTTGATATGAGTGGTACGATGGCCTGATTTCGGGACCGTGTGAAACTGCTCAGAATGGGTATTTTGGTGATGTTCACACCGTATTTATTTTCTACAAGCTTTTCTGGGCCGAGTTTGGAAAAGTTTCCTTCACAAAAGTTGTTGAGACTTCCTTTTCTATAATGTGTATAAATTTGGGAATTTTCTGAGATGATTTGGATTCTGGACAGAGCTTAATTTGAGAAACAAGAATTCTACTCCAGTGAACTATTTTTAGTCTGCCTTTGAGCTACTAAAAATGGTGTTTACAGAGAGATTCCGATTTTGTGTTCTCACAAGAAATGTTTGTTAAGGCCTTGTTTATGGCATATTCAAATTTGAGAATTTTCGGAGGTCATTTACTATATTTTCAAGTCCGATTTCGTGAACAGTGCAAAGCTGTTCGGTTTTGTCAGATTTCAAAGATTTATCAATTGTTATATGAAAAACGTTGGAATCTCGACTTGATGTCTTTTGGTGATATTTAAGAACATATCCGCGCCGAACTTCGGGTTGAATGAGATTATTATACGTGTTTATCGCAGAAAACTCTCGGTAAATAAGTTAGATGTTTATGAAGCGGGTTGTGGTTTTTGTGCCAAATGATCTATTTCATGTGACCCGATTGGCCCAAGTAATTTGCGTGAGAATTCAGTAAATCCAGAAGGTTCTAGGGAGTCCACGGTTCGGAAAATTTGTAGAGGAATCTAGAGGATAAGGCCTTGACCGAGTCAAAGCTTATCCTCCAAGCTTTATTAATTGGCCATTATTGTTCTTGACTTTGGAGGCCACCCTCATAATGGCTTGTATTGATTGCTTGGACTTTGGTGGCCCTTCATGATGTCTTACATTAATGAATCAAGACTTTGGGGCCCCTCCATGATGACACGTGCGCTTACCTCATGCTCCATGATGACACGTGCACTTACCTCATCCAAGCTTTGGCCCCAAGTTTTGCCTCTCTATAAATAGAAAGAAGGCCATTCGGCCAAGGGGAGAGAGAAATAGAGAGAGAAAGAGAAGCCGAGAGAGAGAGAGAGAGAGAGAGAGAGAGAGAGCTTCACCAACTCATCATTTTTCTTGTTGTTCGATCAAGTGAGAAAGCTATGTCCAAGGCCCGAGTGTTCGTGAATCGCCCGAGAGTCGCCGAGACTTGCGTGTCCTTCACACGCCTCGTTTTCTCTAGTTCTTGTTTAATTGTTGTGTAAGTGAATTCTCTAATACCGGGAAAGGATGTTGAGATACGTTGTGACGTGGTTTGCTTGGACCGTTTCTCGGTCGTTTGGTTGGTCGTAGTTGGTTCATTTCCTTGGTTTGATCATGTTTCATGTTTGATGTTGTTTTGAGATAAAACCGAGCCTTGATTGGTAAAGAGTACATGAGATAGAATCGAGCCTTGGTTGGTAACCGAGAGTGGGCTGGTAAAGTGCACATGTTATAGCCGTGCGTGATGTTCTCTTGTTTGAACTTTGCTATTGATCTGCCATCGATGTGGGTGCGGTAAGAGCCGACTTGTGTTAACGGCGATTGATATATCCTCGCTTCATATTAATGTTTTCACTTGCTGAGTCTCCCCGACTCATCCCCCGTTTTTCCCTCTCAGGTCCATAGGATGGTCAAACGGACGGCGGCGACAGGGGAAGTTTGAGCCATGTTGGAGTCTGGGGAAAGCTAGGAGCTGTGAATCCGAAGTAGTGGACTTAGGACACCCAAGCCACTTGTTATTGTTGTGTAAATGGCTAAAATCCGGCTAAGTTGGCTTGTAAAATATGATTTGCGTGTCCTGTAAATACAAGGTTTGCTCATGATGCTGTTTGTCTTAATCCCGCTGTTGTTTTAAATGTGATTGTCCTGAGATATGCTTCCGCTTGTGTGTAAAGAAAGATAATAATGAACGGGACGTCACGTTAATGACCCCGAGGTGGGGGCATTACAATATCGCAAGGTGATGCCCTTTTTGCAGTGTTCGTGCCGCTGGGGCTTCACCGGTAACCCCTATATTAAACATGGATGCAAAGGTAAAACCTCTTACATTTCATCACACCAATCATTGGAAACGCAAAATCGAAAAACTGTACTAACAAATAGAAGTAGCTCTTTGGAGGCTCAAGTAGCTTTACATGCAAATCGTAAACGCCCAATAAAGAGACGAAGCTCTACTAATTTTGATTGTCATCCTTTGTTCAGATGTCGATGAATGCGAAGATCCCAATCGTTGCCATGGAAAAAAGTGTGTGAATCAACGAGGTTCCTATGATTGTGTTGAAGGAAGCAAGACAATCAAGTTTCTCCTCGTAGGTAAGCAAATTTCTTCATTCTGTCATGAGTTATGAACAAGGACTAGCCATCTTTTTTGCACCCAGATTCGCGAATATCACATCCTGTCATCTACATAAATGCCAGATTGAGTCTATAATTGATAAAACCCTCAATTTAGAAAATGTTATACAGCATCATGCGTTTTCAGTGGATTGGGTTTTCGTTGTTCCTACGTAGCTCTTCGGAATTCAAGTTTGATGTTTGATTTGGGCACATTTTTTCCTACAATTGTAGCCTATATAGTTTATAGTCTTTAAATTGATTGTCTCTACAACAATTACAGTACGTCAAACCTAACACCAGGTTTTTTTTTTTCCTTTTTGCCCTTAATACATAATCTCAATCGACCAATACCTCTGTTTTGTTTTTTTGGCTGCTGCTCGACTGTTCTATTACATGCTAAATTGCACATGAGACTCAAATACATGAGTGAGAGAGATGACTTTTCTAAGTCAAAGGGGTCTATTGGGTGGTCACCAAATCAAGAAGCTGAACTTACGTGAGCATTGTGACATGAGTATTCAATGGACAATGAAGTTCAATACGACAATTCACCAGACCTCGGAGATTTTAGGTTGCATATACTCAAACTTCTGGGACCTTCTCAAGTTCCATCCTAGGATGGTGCCAGGTATGTGCTATTTTTTGTTGATGATGTTTCGAGGAAAGCATAGATTTATCATCACAAGAACAAGGAGCTTAGTTGGTTCAAATCATGGAAGGAGATGATTGAAAAGCAAATAGGATGGAAGATCATGTGCCTGAGAACAGATAAATGGGTGGAATTTTGTTCGGATGAGCTTGGCCAATTTTGTGTAGAAAAAGGCATAGTGGAATTCCAATACACCATGACTAAATGGTGTCACAAAACTGATGAACAAAATTACATTGGAGAGAGCTCTCAAAATTTACTCTCCAATGCTGGATTGAGTGAAGTTTTGTGGGCTGACGCAATGAATATCGATGTTGGTTAATGAATAAATCACCATCACCATCAAATAATTGGAAAAGTCCTTACCAAACATGGTAGGTAAGCCGGTTGATTATATCGAGCGAAAAGTATTCGGTTGCCTTGCTTATGCTCATGTGAGTGATGGCGCTATAGCTAGGGGAAAGGAGGTATTTCTAGGCTATGCACATGGGGTAAAGGAATATAGGTTGTGGTACATTGAGAAAGATTCACTTAGGTTTATATGTTCAGTGCAGATGTTACCTTTGATAAATATGCTCTATTTTAGAATAGGAGTGAGAGATCGATTGTAGAAAAAGATATGGATAATGTCAATAGGTAGAGCTTTAGGGAGAGCTTAAAGATATTCAAAATGTAGTAGATGTGACAATGTCTATAGAGTCACTAGATTCCATAGCAGCCGACAATTTGTTTCAAGGTCATAATTGACTAAGTTTTGAGGTGGTCAATGGAATTGGATGAGATTGAGTAACAATTGTATGCAAATATTGAAATTGATAATTTGGGTGCAGTGTAGATAGTTTCGGGTATGGAGATGCTAAGAGTGAAGATTGCTAAAATGGTTACGAGTGACTCAGAGGACTTAATCGGGAAAGCGCCGAGACACTTTAATATGCAATTGAGAAACTCTATAATTGCCCCCACTTGTTGCACATCATAAATTGTCAATATTGTTAGTGTGTACTTGGATGGAGGTGGAGCATCTGTTCTATGCTTCACATGCTAGTACTCTTGGTTGTCTGAGTAATGTCGTAGGTAGTACTTTGATTGATCTTTAACATGTCGAATGAAGAATATATACGATTAATCCAGGTATACATTGTGATGCTTTGAAGTGGTTCTTCTGGGTTTGTTAGGGACAACATACGTTGGGGTGTGTTTTGGAAAATGCAATTAGGCTCAACAGACATCTGTGATGATTGAGCGCCTGTGGGACATTGGAAGAGCTAGCCTAGATGATGAGCACTATTACTTAGCTGCAAACGTCGACCAATGTGGAGATTGTTTAGAATACATCTTGAGTTTGAGCCTATAAAGGAAACTCGATCCAAGTAAATTTCCAGGCTTGAGTAGTATTCCTAGTTTGAGTGGTTTCATAATTTGAGTAGGCTTCTTATTTGAATGTGTGTGTATGGAATTCTATTCAGTAATTACACACTAGAGCAAACAACGGGGTGTGAGGGTTTTCTCTATGAGTTTTCTGAGTGAGTTCTCTATGAGATATTGTGATATAATACTTTCAAGTTATAGGACTGAGAAGCACTTGAGCTATTATAAACTCTATGTTATCTAGATTTACAGTGGATTTAGTAGCGTTGGACTCTCCTAATGTAGTAGATACCTACACTCGGACTGAATTACATAAATATTTGATGTCTTTATCTTGTTGATTATTTTGGTAATTTATTCTACGTGTGTTAGACTTGAATTGCATAATTCGTTAGCTTCTGTGTTATTTCACAACACAAATCCTCATGCTTGCTTTTGGTAATGCTCATGCCACTTTAATAAACCAGGTATCGGAGCAGGCCTAGGGGCACTATTCTTGCTTCTCTTGTTATGGCTGTTGTACAATTTCATGAAGAAAAGGAAAGAAATCAAGCTCAAAGAGAGGCACTTCAAAGAGAATGGGGGTCTCTTGTTGCAGCAACAACTGTGTTCATTCGAGACCAATGTTGACAACAACAAATTATTCAATTTTAAGGATTTGGAGAGGACCACGGACAATTTCAACAAGAACAGAATACTCGGTCAAGGTGCGCAAGGAACCATCTACAAGGGCATGCTTGCAGATGGAGGAATCGTTGCCATTAAGAAGTCAAAGGCAATTGATAAGGGAAAAGTTGAACAGTTCATTAACGAGATTGCCATTCTCTCGTAGATCAACCATAGGAACGTGGTTAAGCTACTTGGGTGTTGCTTGGAAACAGAGTCGCCGCTTTTGGTGTACGAATTCATATCGAATGGGACTCTCTTCCAATATTTACGTGACTCTCTCGTATCGTGGGACACACGCCTTCGAATTGCTACCGAAGTGGCGGGAGCCTTGTCCTATCTACATTCATCGGCATCAATCCCAATTTATCATCGGGACATCAAGTCTATTAATATTCTCCTGGATGACAAGTACCGTGCAAAAGTGGCCGACTTTGGCACTTCCAAATCGCTTTCGCTCTATCAAACTCACGTGACTACAGCAGTCCAAGGGACATTCAGTTACTTGGATCCGGAGTATTTTCAATCGTGTCAGTTCACAGATAAGAGTGATGTGTACAGCTTCGGTGTGGTCCTCGTCGAACTCCTGACCTGGCGAAAGCCAGTCTCACTTCTTGGAGACGAGGATCAGAGAAACCTTGCAAGCTATTTCCTCCTATCGATGGACGACAACTGCCTGTTCAACACAGTGGACGATCAAGTTCTGAAGGAAGGCAAGAAAGAAGGGATCGTCGCCTTTGCGAACCTCGCAAGAGGGTGCCTGAACTTACATGGGAAGATGCGACCTACAATGAAAGAAGTGGCAAGTGAGCTGGAGCGCATTAGAAAGCTGGAGAATCCTGCCATGAAACATGAACATACTCCAAAGAAGAGGGAAACGAGAATAAGTTGGGATTCTGCAGGGTCCGCAGACATAATCACGATGTCGGACGTGCAGCCACTCATGTATAGCGACTCGATGTATAGTAGTTCTTTCTACATTTTCTTAGATGGGTGATTACTTTAAGAAGTTCCATACGTCGCACTCTTTCTTGATGGGACAAAAAGCAGAAACTTAATTGTCAAATATCTTAGAAGAAATTCAGCATAGATTGTGAAATTTATAGCTTTCATTGAGACAATTTAATAACACATGGTAACAGCAACCACATATTTACTCATGCTAGTTGCAGCAGAAGCAGCAATGGGCAATAAGATAGGAATGATCGCATAATGAGGGAAGCCATCCGTACAACACCTAGAAGAAACTTCGCCGTGTTTCACTGGACATAACTGGGGTGCGCATCGGAAAATCGAACCACTTCATAATCAACATCCGACATCAAATTATAAATTGAGCACAATATCTTTGAGTTAGATAATGGAATTTTTCATGGTTTGGATTTCCCGGACACCGCTTGTCCACAACATAAGTTCCCCTTAGATGTGCTCTTTGAGTTGTGTATTTCTTGTACTTACCAAATTATTTGAGTAGGAACTCTTGTATTCGGCTGATTGTATTTTCACGTGTGCATTAAATCTGTTCGCTTAAAGACATCAAAAACTTTCATACCAAATGAGACGTTGTACCAATGTCTAAATGACCCAAATGAGGAGCTTCAAGTGCCATGGGACACACACCTACGAGTTGCAACCGAAATCGCTGGAGCCTTATCCTACTTGCATTCGGCAACTTCTATGCCCATTTATCATCGAGATATCAAGTTCACCAATATCCTCTTAAACGAGAAATATCGGGCAAAAGTGGAGGATTTTGGCACTTCCAAATCCATTTCTCTCTATCAAACTCACGTCACCACATTGGTGCGGGGGACTTTTGGATACTTGGATCTAGAGTACTTCCAAACAAGCCAATTTACAGACAGAAGCGATGTGTACAACTTTGCAGTGGCCCTTGTCGAACTCTTAACGGGACAAAAGCCAATCTCTCCATTGAGTGAAGAAGAAGGGAGAAATCTCTTGGCGTACTTTATAATTTCTATGGAGGACGATTCTGTGTCCAAAATGGTTGATGTTCGAGTTTTGAAGGAGGGTAAGGAAGAAGAGATTACAGCAGTTGCTAACCTCCCAATAAGGTGCTTAAACTCCGTTGGGAGGAATCGGCCGACATGAAAGAAGTGGCAATGGAGTTGGAGAGAATAAGGAGGCTACGAAATCCTTCAGATTTTCAACAAGATCAAGAAACGGTCGAGACCACTGAATCTCATGATGCAAGTTTCACATCTAGCAAGTCTTATTATGTGGACTTAGATGTAACAACATTTTCGGATGTGCAGCCATTCACACATTGTGAAACATGGTGAAGGCGGCTCTTTCCAGCATTATCGCCGGCAAGAATGTCTAGCTATACATGCAGAGACAAGCGGCACCGAAATTGATCCTTTCCGTTCATGTATCATGAAAGGGATTATTGTGTCTTGAGGATCCGTGAATACTTTATTGTAAGGATTACGTTAGAGTTGCACTTGTACTCTTGGGAACAAGCGTCCTACTTATATCAACCTTCCGTCTGTTCGATTTGTCGGTTATTTATCAGTGTTGAAAAGAGCTGTGATTCGATTTCAGTTCCAGAAACATGATGCTGTCAATTTTATCAAAATAATCAATCTCAAATCTCGAACAGGTGCATGATCAAACGATACATCTAAGCGTACAATGCATTAAAATTCTTCCCTTTTTCCACTTAAATAACAATAATTAAGGGACTCAGCCCACATCCCTTCCTCCATATGTTAGGGTCGATACACATACCAAACGTGAAAATCACACTCGATAGCCCCATTGATAATGTCGTTTCTTGTGGGGAAGACTACTCACGATCACAATGCACAAGTTTTTTTTTTTAAACAAAAGATGGCTTCCTAGTCTCATTCTCCCCTTGTCGGTATCATTTTTTTTTTTGGTAAAGGTCGGTATCATTGATAGTATTTTATATCTATTTTTAGTATAAAAAGAAAAACTATTCAGAGTACTTTTCACATCATTTCCCAGAGCAGTAGCGAAGAAAATTAACTATTTTAAAGCGAAAATCACTTGTAGATTTCTGCACTGACATGGGAGCCAATGTATTTCATTATGGAATTAAAAAAATCTTGCCGCATGATTCTCGTGCATTTTTTACCTCTTTGTGGGTCGCCAAGATGGTTCCCAAGTGCTTTTATAGATGGCTGGAGCAAGAACAGCATTGGACTAATGTACGACACTCGAGAACATTAAAAACGATTTTCGCTTCAATAATGAGAGAGATAACGAAACTTGCATATTTTGACCCCAAAAAAAAAAGAAACTCGGGTATCGTGCTGCGATTAAAGAAAAAGAAACCATTTTTGCATTAATAGAAATGAGTTTTTCTTTCATTGGTCAGGAAAAAACATCTTGGTTGACGTAATATAAATTTGTCAGATGATTTTGTCATTCAAATTGAGATTCTTGTTGTGGCAAATTGTTTTCTTTTCCCGAAAGGACAAAAGAAAGTTAGGATAGTGAGGGTCATCAAAAGTTAGATCATTCTTGATATTGATTTCATAATGCTCCAAATCTTTCTCATAAGAAAGTGATGATAAAATTATGTCCCCAGCAATGGGATCAGTCATACTTAGCTGCTTAAACCGGTCTCCTCTACATATCAAGCTTTACAGTCTGTCCTCAAGGAAGCGTCCTCAGAGCTGGAATAAGATTATGCTTCCAGTACTTCAAATTCTTCCCTTCTTCCACTTGAATAAGGACTCATCCCATATCCCCTTTCACCATAGGTTTAGGTCAATGCACATGCCAAACGCGAAAATCATGAGGAACTAGGGTTTTTAAATTCTTTTGTTTCTGGTTTCCCTCACAGTACAAGCATCAGGAGCTGCACCTGGATTTCCAAGCCCAAATGAGCTAAAAATTGCGGGAACGTCAACATTCCCTACCCCTTAGGAATAGGAGCCCAGTGTTAGTTGGACGACTGCTATGAGATCGACTGCAAGCAAAACAACATGGTTCCTAGACAAAATAAGATTGGATTGCGAGTTCTCAACATTTCACTCCCCTCTAATAGGAGATACACGTGTGTGATTTTACTAGACCACTATCAACTATTTTAAATGCTTAAACTGATAGAGAAAGATGCAGTTTAATATTTAAATATTTCATTAAGGATGTCCTAAGTTTAAATCTTTCTAGGCCCCTATTTTCTTCCCCAATTAAATATTTCCACACTTAGTACTAGGCAAAAATAGACCAGAACAACAAGTGATAGTGAATACTACAGATTCAAATGTTGTCGATTCCAGGTCAAAATGTGCTGGAACCACCACCGACATTAATTAGTATCATAGTGCTTGTTCTAGGAGGGACAAACTGTTAGTGGTCTGCCCTAAGAATCAATCAAGGTTGATACTCTAATATTAGTTGTGGATTAGGTTGTGTCGGAAAATCGACCTTCACTACACATAGGTAGTCATAATGTCTTGCTAGAGACCGCTTATGACTTGTGGGCCAAAAAGGATTTTGAGCACACTGCTAATGTTTAGTGAACCTACAGGGTCGCACACAAAAGCGAACTGAGTTAATATTTTCTGTGCGCCGGTATCTACTTAAAATAATAAGTAGATTTTAATTTATTCTCCTATCTACGCGGTCGTGCGCGTTATGAGATAACGATTAAATGTACGATTGAAGGTGGACGGTTTGGCGGGCCCAAATCGCCTGGCCCACTTCTTTTAATTCCACTGGATAATGAGGCTGTATAAATAAATAGAGAATCGTTCTCTGTCTAGGGTTTTTTTTCGACAGAGTATCGAAAATCAAAAGGTGTTGAAGAAAAGGAACTTCAAGATCTTTAGCTAGCACTTGGATCGTTTGAGACTTCTGTTCGCGTGTGTGAATACCGGTAGAGGCACAACACTTGGGGCGCTAATCCAGACACAATCAATTGTCAATTTACATTCGATTTGCAAAAGGTACGTATCGAACTTCTATCTCGATTTCAATATACACATGGATCCTGTCTAGGGTTCTAGGGTTTCTGTTTACAAATATATTCTGCTGCGTTTTAATAACTGTGAAACCCTACATCGAACCCCTCAGTGGTATCAGAGCAACTTGTGATATATTGAAGTTGAATCGGAAACCCTAATTATTGATACATATGATGTATGCTTGAAGAGTCTAAATTAGGGTTAGATGAATTTGAAATACGAATTGATATGATCAATTGAGAAGGAACGAAGCAGGGATGGGTCGATCGTGTTCCGCTCTCGGAGACGGCGTCGCACCTGGGCCTGTTCCCCGAGGCGAAGACGGCGTCGCGCCTGGGCTGTTGCCCGAGGCTGAGATGGCGGGCGGATATGGCGGTGCGTCTGGGCCTGTTACCCGAGGCAGAGACGGCGGCGCGCCAGGTCAGCCGATGCGTCGAGGTGTTCGGCCGGATGGGTACGGCGAGGGTGCGGGAGGTGGCAGCGACGGATAGTCTTCCGAGAACAGAATTAAGAATTATGTCTAGGTTTTCGGGGCTCTCCTCAGAAAACAGAATTGAGAATTCTGTTTCGGTTTAGGGGGCGGTGCCCCCTTGACCCCGCAAGGGGCACTGCCCCTCGACCCCGCAAGGGGGCGCAGCCCCCTTGACCCCTGCATGGAATTGGTCGTTCCCGTATAATTGATGTACCTTTGTTATTATAAGTGATGTTTCGTTATGTTCATAACATGCATACATTCATCGCTAAATAAACATTAAGAGTCCCTAATAAAATTAAGTAATAATATGATGTCTTTCCAATCATACACCTATTAAGACTTGAATCGTCAATAGATGGGCCTGCCAAAGTAGGGTGTCTTTAACTATTTGAGTAAAATAGGATGGATAATGGTTATCCATCAGTCAAGATTGGTTTACTTAACGAGGCTATCAAAACGGTTTTGGGCCTTGAGGCATAGTACTTAGGGATAAGATATGAGATGTCAACCCCAACAACCAAAAGTTGTATTCGATACAATTAACAAAGATTTGTCTACCTAAATAACTTAGTCTCGAGCGGTAAGCCAAAGCTTAATCGAGTCTTGGTGAAATATGGATCTTGGTCCACTATACTTATTGGGACATATATTATAAAAGTATAG